CTGTTCCAAATGTCTGTTCTCCAGGATATCTTATTCTACTACACTAAATATAATTTCAAATATTGATGTCTTTTTAAGGCTAGTAAAAAACCAATTGTCCTGAACTGGAAAATATTGTTTTGTTAAATATCTTTCCCTCGTTTAATCTAGGTTTGTTGATATGGTTATTTTCCTCACCCTTATGATAGCATGGATCTCTTTTTTCTAAAATATTAAAAGAATTATTATTTAATGATCATTATAATTTAATTCATCTAATAAATTATTTAATTAAAGTAGAATCTTCCTTATGGATGAACTAAAAAATATCTCCCTTTAAAAAATATAGATTGAGGCCTTGACTTCCGGGAAAGGTGAACTCGGCCATTTCAGAATGCAGACAGTAGACCACACCCTAGACAGGAATCAAATTGTAATTCTAGAATCTGCTGTGCTTTTTGGTAAGACAGTGAAGTTGCAAGGGAATGTTCTACAAAACAAGGTGAGGTCTGTGCCATCATAACTCAAGCCCCCTCCCCACGTTACTCTGCTCATTGCCTTGAGGAGCAAAATCCAGCAGTTTGGCAGACCATGAAAAGATCTGAGAGCAACTGGAGGTTCCTAGATGTGTCATCCATGGAACACAGTCAACATGTCGTTCAAATTTGAAGTTCCTGGGAAATGTGTATCTTCAGAGTATAGGCTCCAGGTAAATTGAACTCAGAACTCTCAGGGAGGTAAGAGTGGGGAGAGACCTAACCCCAGGACGTGAGCTAAACCTAGAGATGTCAGGATGTCATCTCATTTAGGTAAACAAGAGCTGGGATGGGGATTTAAGGGAGAATACTGAAGAATAAGACAGTCATCAAGAACTTTCCAGGGACGTAAAAGACTGCACATGGGCAAGGCTGAGTGACTGGCCAAGGAAAGGACAAGGAGCAGGCATTTACCTGAGTAAGAGCTGAAGTCCTTGCCCCAGTGGGAATGAGAGCTAAACCTGTCCTTGGAAAATGCCTGCGACATTAGAGAAAGCCTTCTTACACAGCCTGGGCAAAGGGTGGAAGACACACAGGCAATGTATTAAAAACTCACTAACTTCTGACCCATCACTTGCTGACCACTAGATTACATTGAGGTTTCAGGAAGTCACACTAAAAAGCAAAAGACAAGGACTTAAAATTTTTAAAAAAAGAATAGCTGAAGGCTCAGGGGTTTAATGTTACAAGAAAGACATAATTGCCTCAGAAAAGATATTAAATAAATAAGAAAAAGAACAACGATAAATGGGGGGATGGGGTGGAAGAATCTGGTACCAGAATTGTTACCATGTATTAATTAAAAGGTCCAGCTTTCAACAGACAAAAATAATTAAGATATGCAAAGAAAGGGATATGTCATATACATAGTAAAAAAGGCAACCATCATAAAATGTCCCTAGTAGACTTATTAGAAAAGATTTAAGCTACACATTTTAAATATTTCCAAAGAATTAAAGGAAACAATGTCTAAATAGTGAAAGAAAAGCATGAAAGCAATGAAGACAGAAATTATTGTTAAAACCTTAGAAACTCTGGAGTAGAAAAGTATTAAAACTAAAATGAGCAATTAAAGAGAGGTTCAATTAATGGTTCTTAGTTTTATTTCTTGCACTTTAGAAATCTTGTTTAGGCAGTCAATGCCTGAACCAACATGTTGGAGTGCTGAGTTTATGTTTTCTTCGAGCAGTTGTAGTTTCTTCTTTAATTCCTGGGTCTTTGATCCACATTGAGTTGATTTTTGTGCAGGTTTAAAAAGATTGAGTTTTATTCTTCTACATATGGATTTCTAGTTTTCTAAGCACGATTTGTTAAAATTGTGGTGGTGCTCATTAGTAATTCCAGTGACTCAGGAGGCTGACGCAGAAAGATTGCAAATTCAAGGGCAGCCTCAGCATCTTGGTGAGACCCTATCTCAAAATAAAAAAATAAAGACTGCATTTGTAACTCAGTAGTAAAGTACCATTGGGTCCAATACCCAGTATCTATAAAACAAAACAACAACATCACAACTCCAACCAAACAAACCCAAAACAGCTATCTTTTATATTTCTGACACCTTTGTTGAATATCAGATAACTGTTTCTATGTGGATTTGTCTCTGTGTCTTCATGTCTGTTTTCATGTCAATACCATGCTGTTTTTGTTACCGTAGGTTTATGTTATACTTTGAAATCTGGTATTGTGGTGCATCTAGCATTGCTCAGGATTGCTTTGGCTATTCCGGATCTCTTATTCTTTCAAATAAATTTTAGGACTTTTTTTTGGTGTGTGTGTATGTGTGAAGAATATCACTGGTATTTTGATGGAATTATACTGAATCTGTATAACACTTTTTGTAGTATGACCATTTTGACAATATTAATTCTGTCTATCCAAGAACATCAGAGATGTTTCCATCTTCTAAGGACTGTCTGAATTTCTTTCTTCAGTGTTCTATAATTTTCATTATAGGGTTCTTTCATCTCCTTGGTTAGATTTTTTGAGACTATTGTGAATGGGATAATTTTCCTGATTTCTTTCTTTTCAGATTCATTATTGGAATATAGAAAACCAATTGATTTTTGTATGTTG